CCATTTAATTTTTGAACTTGCACAACTATTGTTTTGTTAAATAGCACTCCATGTGAATACAATGTGAATTTATTACTTCGACATTATTGATACACTCACTATTACGAAAAATGCCTTTAACAACGGTTGGAAATGATATATAATCACGCAGGTCCGGGTATTGTTATGTAGCATGTGGTTGTATATGTGTTATTTTCAATCAAGGTCCAATAACTGTAGTAGTAAACTGGAAATTGTGCACCCTATAACAATGATTGTGAGAAATAACCGTTGTGAAATTGTTTATAAATAACTCTCATTCATATCATACTAGAATCAACAATACACCATTTGTCAATTGATATCAAAAATTGTATTACATCAAAGTATATATAAGTAGAAATATCAAAGAAGGGAAAAATCTATACGAAAAGGCAAGTAGATATAATCATTCATTCAACTGCTCAAGGAATTAAAGAACCAAAAATGAGCAAACTTGACATGCGTGAAATATTTTGGCTTTTAAACTTTCAAGGATTAGGGAAGAGGAAAAATCATAAGAAACAATATAAAATTGGAATTACTCTTTGAACCAAAATACAAAAAAAACTTCATCCAAAAAAATCAGAGAGAAGAAGAAGAACCAAAATGAGTACTTCTGCTGAAGCTTTCAACAATGCTGAGAGAGCTTCCAACAATCCTGAAGATGTTCTGCCTCCTCAGAATCAAGAACTGTTGAGACTCGGGAAGAGGAGAGCAAGAAGAAGAAGAAGAAGAAGAAGGGTGAGAAGGAAGATGATTTTTTGATTCTGATGATGATGAATCAGATTATACTTGATCAAACATTCTCTAGGTCAGAGGATTTAGATATGATTATTAAGGTCTTCTGAAATTAAAGTTTATGTAATAAAAATTTAATCATTTTACTAACTCTAGGGCTTTCTCACTTTCTTAAGGTTATCAACTTAAACTATCAGCTTAAACTAGCAGGTATAAAATCTATCAACTAATATACACACATCTTAGAAAAGCTGAAATAACAAATAGATAATTAAAAATTTAACAGTTTGCGATGAACTTACTCGTAAGAAATCGTCTAAGAGTTGCATTCCTATCAAGTTCACTACATCTGCAGTTTCAACATCAACAATGCAATTCAAACCCTACTTCAACTATGACATTTCATAAGAAAGTAAATGTTAAACATAAATGAGATAACAAAATATAACATCTTCAAATTCTCAGAAAATCTCTCTGATTTCAGTTTGTTCTCAAACTCTTGTTCTTCTTCTTTGAATCTTCATACACAATATTCAAAAGCTTCCACAACTTCCAACTCTGACTTCATTTCCACCTTTTTATCTCCCATGTGAAAAAATTGCATGTCTCGTCACTTCTCCAAAATGGACATCTCCAAAAAAGTCTTCCTTTATTTTGTCCCTTCTTACATCGGTACGAAACAATACGACCATCACAATTACAGAAATTTGTAAATTGAGATTTTATAGAAGTAGAAGAAGACATAGAAACACCTTTGAATGAATTTGTCTTCAAATGCGGCGTTGGTGTTAGGGTTGTTTCGTCTTGTTTCTTTCTTCATTGAAAAAATTGATACTGAGAGTTTAATATATATAAATTTATCATGACGATCATTACTGTGAACCGTAATGATATTTTTTTGCATAATTGAAATTCATTAAAAAAAGTGTCAGTGTGTAACAACGGTTTTACAAAACAATTGTAGTGATATCTATATTATTTTTAATTTAAATAAAAATAAAAATGAAAATGTGCGCATTAACATAAAAGGAATAAACTATTTGAGGGCGATGAAGTTCGAAACCATGAAATATTGATGGTATCACTATAGTGTTCTCATCAACCGTTATTATGCCCTTAAAACTTTTACTTAAAAAAAATATTAGCACATGAGTTTAGAAGTGTCACCACGGTGTTTAGAAGAATCGTTGTGACTTTGACGCTGTTGTATGCGCGCTTTGTAGTAGTGACTTACCGAGAAGTCATCATTAGATAATGAAATAATTAAATCATTGAATTTTTGTCTTTGATAACAATATTGAGAAATTATTATCAAATATAAAAATGTATTGCAAAAAGTTGAATCAACAACAAATCATTATGTGAGATAGATTGCAAGGACAAAAAATATTTTATTCAAAATTATAAAATTAGTTTTTTCAATTAATGAATGTAACAAGAAACGACATACAATCTTGAAATATTTTTAACTAATTAAGAAACTTTGAAATTTAATTATAAAAATAGAAGTGTAACTCATAAATCAAAATATATATATATATTATATATATGAGGTGTGTCTGAAGGATATTTTCTAAATTTTGTAAGGATTTTTTCAATCCTATAGAGTATAATAAGAAATTCTCAAATATTTACTCATATGAAACAAGAGTTTTAGCTATGAGTGAAAAACAAAAATTGAACATATTCTCATTCTTATCTGTCTCCCCTTAATAAACGGCGGTGCGGCGCGATCTGGCATAAAGTAAGGTACAACATGTAATTTTACATCCAAAATGGACATGAACCATGTTATTATCATCCAAAACAAATAACTACTAAACGAAAACATAATAAAATTGCATTCGAAGCTACTATTAAAGTTGTTTTTGAATCTAGAGGATGGACACCAACTGATTTGGCGTGCGGTATGGGTTGGCATAAATTTTATTTGTGATTTATGCATCAAAAAGTTTCAATTTGTGGTGATCGTTGAAACAGTATTTTAAGATAGATCCATCTTCTTATATTGAGTTATATTTT